TCTGGCTATTACAAATAATGCTGCTATGAACATAGTTGAACAAATGTCTTTGTTGTATGAATGTGCATCTTTTGGGTATATGCCTAAGAGTGGAATTGCTGGATCTTGTGGTAGACTGATTACCATTTTCATGAGGAACTGCCATACTGATTTCCAAAGTGGCTGTACGAGTTGGCACTCCCACCAGCAGTGTAGGAGTGTTCTCCTTTCTCCACATCCTCTCCGGCATAAACTGTTATTGGTGTTTTTGATTTTAGCCATTCTGACATGAGCAAGATAGTATCTCAGAGTTGTTTTGATTTGCATTTCCCTGATGGCTAAGGACATTGAGCACTTTCTTAAGTGTCTATCAGCCATTTCAGACTCCTCTATTGAGAATTCTCTATTTAGTTCTGTACCCCACATTTTAATTAGATTATTTGGTGTTTTGGTAACTAGCTTCTTGATTTCTTTGTATATTTTGGAAATCAGCCCTCTGACAGATGTGGGGTTGGTGAATAACTTTTCCCATTCTGTGGGCTGCCTTTTTGTCTTGTTGACTGTGTCCTTTGCCTTACAGAAGCTTGTCAGTTTCAGGAGGTCCCATTTATTAATTGTTGATCTCAGTGTCTGTGCTACTGGTGTTATGTTCAGGAAGCAGTCTCCTGTACCAATTCGTTTAAGGGTACCTCCCACGTTCTCTTCTAAGAGTTTCAATGTGCCTGGATTTATGTTGAGGTCTTTGATCCATTTTTAAAAATAGCATAACTACAAATAAATAATTCACCCAGTAGCTCTAGAATTTCAACATGTTGAAAAACCAAATCATTCAGTAATTTCTGACTTCTATGCTGGCATCCTCATTGAGTAGGTTTAGGTGCAATTCAGGTGTGTGTGTTTTTATGAGATGGCCCTAAGTGACTTCAGTGGAACCTTAGATTACCTCTAAAAACAGTCCATTGTGCAGAAGATTCTAGTTTACCCTCTTTGGGTTTGAAGCCCAGTTCCTCTTGTCAAGCTAGGCCAGCATGAATTGGCGAGGCACTGCTAGATATCACAAGACTGGAATTCAGGGTGTGGAGAGCTATGGCTCCTAATCCAGAAACCTAAAGGGACCTGCATCACCCACTCTGACTCCCACACAGTGTAGGCTGAGGCTGAGCATACAGAAAGGGACCCTAGTGACAGAAGTGCTTATCACCTCAGGCTTCCTTAGCCTCGTTTGTCAGACAGAACCAGTGCGGATGCCTTTCCAGTCCACATAAAATTGCATACGGGCAGAGGGGGATGCTTTAGCGCAGGTGAGTGCAGAGGGGCAATCCTGGACTGTGCATTTTAACAGTGTCCCCTTTATCTGGGGGCCCAAAGTCATCAGATTGAGAGAGAAGGGGAAGGGCTGGGTGACAGGATGGGCAAAGAGCTGTGACCTGCGGATCCACATTCGGTTTGGGATCTGAGTAGTTTTGAGCTTCATTGACAATGGAAATGCTGACTGTCACCCTAGGTCCTGTGAACTGAACCATGTGTTTGCGGAGGGACAGGAGAAGATCATACTCACTCGTCTGCGTGGCTCCTGAAGATACACGTGTTCGTTTTTTGAGCTGAGCAAAATGGTTATATAATTGCTTCCTTCTCATAATTATTGAGTAATTATATACTTCTTATAATTACTCAGTAATCATTGTTCTATAGCTAAAAACTAACATTACAACTAATTGTATAATTACCATGTATTAATGTCATTATATGGCAAACTTGGAATAAAGTGGTACTTAATATGTTTCTCTCTGCCATGCCATTTTCAGAGCAAAACGGAGGATATGGCCTGTTTTATTGCTCAAAAACGGCTTCCAATACAAATAAACAAACTAGAAGAAAGGAGGGTACCTCTGCCAGTGTTCTGAACACAGATGCTTACACTTGTATTTGTGCCTGGTTAGAAACAGGCAAAATCATGCTCTTGTGACATAGAGTTTTGTTGGTGTTTTACAATTTTCAACCTTCTATAAGACGCACAGATTACACAGCTTCCTTGCCAGATGAGCATCTGTCTTGGTCTCTGTAGGGCAAGGTGACCTTTTTGGGGATTTTACAGCTGTGTGACAACAGCAGCCATTGTCTCAGCCATAACTAAAAATGCTTCCCAAGAGCAGGGCATCCTGAGACCAGGAGAGATGCTGATGCGATCATGTGATCGCACTTAGACAATCATAGGAGTTCTACAAGGCAGGGACCATATTTTATTCACTCAGTTGTCATCTCATGGGCACCAAGGGCTCCTTACACACTTGTGGCACTCAGGGGTCTTCAGTCAGATCAAGTCACAAAGCTAGCTGTAAAGAACCTCTGAGTGCTAAAATGGCATCATTCAAAAGGACTTCATTGCCCTTTCTTTCCCCTGGACAATACTTTATAATTGTCCTTATTTTATATAGTTTTATATTAGATTTAAAACCTTCTTATTTAGACAAAAAGGGAAGTGTTATGGGAATTCATTCCACCAGTAGCTTTGGGGTACTGGCTTTGGACCTGGCTTCTTGTCTGTAGACATGGTCTCTTAAAAGAAGAGATAGAGGTTGTGTACTCTCTTGGGTTATGAAGACCTGGTCAAGCAACATGAAGCAGCGTGTGGTCAGTCCCCAACTCCCATGGTCCAAGATCTATGAGGCTGTTTTCCCCATAGCATACTTCAACAAATTGACATATATATATATATATATATATATATATATATATATATATATATATATATATGTGGTTCTTGTAACAGAACTTGAGTGGAATGAACTCTTAAAAGCTGCATCCAGAACTCTATGGGCATGGCATTGCATAGACATCATGATAGAGTTCCTACTTCCTCTTTGGATTTCATGTCACTCTGTAAACTTGGAATATTTCTTTATTGAAAATAAATAATGATTGTGCTTCCCAGTGTTCTAGTCCATGAACACTATTTATTCTCTCCAAAATAACTATCCCTTTGCCTGTATCAATTTCAAGACCAAAATGACAAACTATTGTGTGGCAATTGAAACTTCTTGTGGCCACAGAAGACACTTAACTGTGCAGATTTTGTCACGATAAAAAATTTGGCTACTTCCTTCAGCCTGAAATTATTATAAATTTATAAATATATCTTATGTATATGTCAAGTTTTATCTACCCTACCCATATTTCACAAAATGGCCATCCATAACCAACTGTGAGATTCCAGTTAGTTTTAGGATTTGGACTTTTACCTGATGGGACAACAACGTGATATAGTCAGATTTGTGTTAGTCACTTAAGTGAACAATGATGGATTTTGATGATTAACACATAATTAATAATCGCTGAGAGAACAAATGCCAGGCGCTTACATCTTAACCACTTGCCAATGCTCAATATTTGTCTTGCAGGTATAATTTGTGTGGATTACAGCAAAAAAAATCAGCAACCATCCTTATTGTTTTGTTCATTGTAATGAGAGAGCTGGGTAGATTTGTTCACTAATCAGTTAATCAAACTATATACATTGATGAGCCATACACACAATGCTTCTTAGCTTTGTACTGATACCTGCAGAGTAATCTATGTAGCTCAAGTAACTCAAATAGCAGGCGTTTTGAGCAGACATTTCAGGCTGGCTGCAGGAAAGTAAGATCTTAACTAATTTTCATGATGGCACTGTATGAGAATCACTGTGTGTCACGTGACCTCAAGCTCAAGGACAAAGAACTAGATACTCAGACACATTCTTGAAGAGAACATGTTACTCAAAGAGCACGAATACAGGTTCTAACCCAGGGAATGTCAACAGTCAGTGGGTATTGTTTTCTTTGTACTTTTCCTGCTAATCTGTGAGGATGTATTTTTATAATTATTTTAGGCATTCAAGTTTCTTTCCTGTACAATGTAAGAAAGCTTATAACACGTGACCCTCTTTTACATTTTAATCAACTAATATGCCGTTATTGCTAGGTCTTGCAAATAGGCTTGTTCCCCTGCTACATCTAGTTCCCTGGTGTTTTTTTTTTACGTACTTTTCTCAAAACTGGCGAAATAAATGTGTAATGGGAAATGTTTTGACAAAGGAAGACAGCCTGCTTGATATAATTAGTATTTAAATTGTTCTTTATCCTGTGTCTTTAAAGAGTAGCTAACATGCTCCTCTGTTTGACTAAAACTAAAAACAATGTCTCCCACATGCATGCTTTTAAAGAAAATGTCATAATTTTAAACTCTAACTCTGTTCTTATTTTAACTCTAATTCTTAGCTCTCCCCCACCACTCTTTTTACCATGAGTGTTATGCAGGATTTCGGAGAGAGCAGAGCCATTATTACCAGGGTGGACATTTCTCTCTGTCCTACACAGGCTGAGATTTAGAGATTTGATATGGGTTTACCAAGATTTTAAGGATGGTGGTGTGGCACACAGTGAGGGCACGTGGGAAGCGATTGCTTTATGCAACCAGGTGGTTTTTTTTTCCGTCTGCTAAGAAAGCTAGATACAGATGTTCTGGTCCAAAAGGGCATAAGTGGCAGCCTACCCACAGAAACTGTTTTATGATATTCTGCCCAACCCCAGTTTAAAGAGACATGAAATAGAAAGAGGCCAGGCTAGCTCTCAAGCATGGTGAGCCAAAGATGGGGCATGTCAGAGTGTGCTACCTACAGTTGGAACCATTTTACTTAGGGGCATCACTTCTGTCTACATATTAAAGAAAAGTCAAGGATTATGAAAAACTAAATCATCAAGGGCTTATTTCTACATCTGGACACTTTATGTGTGTGCACGGTACTTGTTGCATAACATCATATTGTCTTTGCCTGTTTGACGCCTGTGATCTGTAGATACTAACACACCCTTCATTTTATTCATAACATAGTGACGTGAGTGTATGCACTGAAGGGAACACATGCAATGCCTCATAGGTGCTGGTTGGATAATTCAGCTTGGCATTGCATCTTTATCAGCCCAAGAAAATACCCAAGTAGTCGAAGAGACTGATCATTGAACGTAATTTTCCTCTTCAATCAGCAGGTAACAACTACACCCTTCCCAGTGGCACAGAAACCATCTGCAACAGTGAGGGGAACCAGCTCTGGGTGCTGGTGGATGACTTGGTTCTTTGCTCGCACTACATGGTACAACTGAATGCTTCCAACAGCCGAAGCAGCATGCTCAGAGACCACATCTCTGTTGAAATGCCTCCAGTGGGTGAGTCTGTGAAAACTGTTGTAGACTTTCTGTTGTTAAACAGGAAGCCCAGAACTGAGTCACTATTGAATATTTAATTTTAAAACACAGAGGTTCAGCTGTAGTTCTGAATGTTTGGGCAGCTTTGGTTCTTGAAAACTCATTATTGATATTCTATTATTGCTTTGATGAGTGTGCTTTCTTCTGATAATGTGTATGTGGACATGTGTATGTGTGTACACATGTGTATATGTATAGTTCTATACATGTGCATCTCTGGATATCTTAAGAACATTATTAAATACATTTTTGTTTTGTTTTTTAATTCACTGGGATTTTTGTTTCTTCATTTCTTCAACTTTCCAGATTTTGTTAATCTTTTTCAATTTTGACAACATATTTAGAAGGAGATGGTATGGGGGCTGGCATCAGTATCCAGGGATTATTGAGAACTGTGAAAACATACAACCCTTTTGCTCTTTTGCAGAACATATTCACAATATCAAATTTAAAATATAGGCCCTCTATGTAAGGATCAGAAAGTGTCCATTACAGTAGGACTCTCATTCACATAAACACTTGGTGTTAGCAGTCACTATAGCCCTTTCCTCTATGAATTGCAATGCATTCTGGGTGTGTCCATCATCTTAACAGTCACTAAAGCCCTTCCCTGTGTGAAATGCAGTGCATTCTGGGTATGTTCATGCTAGCCCTTTCCTTTGTGAAATACAACACATTCTGGGTATGTTTATTTTAAATATTTCTATTTAAAATTGGTGCATTTTAAAATAACCACAATTATTCTAAAATGTGCAGTCAACCCGCCCCATGTCCTAACTATTTATGGTGTCTAAGTGATAAGGAGAAATCCCCCGTTCAAAAGGCAGTCACAGCTGGTAAACAGGAAGCATGTCTTGGAGTAATGAGACCATGGCTCTCAACTGAGCCTCAGAATGTGGGCATTCTGCATATACTCCAGGAGAAGGACTAGGGAGACCTAGCGTCTGTCCTGAAGCCATGCTTCCGGCACCCAAGCACCTTAATACCGAGGTGCTCTTCTCTGTGTGTGATAATGACTCAAATTAGTACATTCCCGTTGCTCATTCAGTACTCACGGGAGGGTGTGTTTGCCAATACAAGGACCAATGTGACAAAACAGGAGTAACTAAGTCATTGCTTTATGGGTGTGTGGCGGAGCGGGGGCTCCTCTGTGGCCCACAGCATCTGGGATCAGTGTGGCCACTGAGAGTAAGTACCCAGAAGTCCAGATTAGGGAGGTGACCCTTCACCCAAAAAGGAAGCCGCATCCGTGGAGACAGAGCAAGTGCCACTTTATTGCCACCATTAGGACTTATTTTCTCCCGTCATTAGATTGTTGTTGATTACAATTAGGAAACTTATCGCTTTGAAATGATCTTTTTTTATGACCTTGTGGCAGTTTAAAGGTGATACCTCATTGATTAAATAGGTTTTAGTTCATGCTTCCTTTTACTTAATGAGCTGAAAACGTATTATCATGATTTACACATAAAAATCATGCTGAAAAGCATGTGGCATCCAGTGGAATATGTGTGTTTAAGTAGAATTAAATTAGTGCTGAGAGTTATTAAAGAAATCTTGCATGCCTTCCAGTGAGCTGTGATTCATACTGGAATGGACAGTAAATGAGCCAGCACGCAGAAGGGAACCGACAGGCAGAGGTATCTCTGTGGGCTCCTTGCTTTTGTGTTGTGTTTGGCTGGTACAGCCACTGCCGTTTCTTTGCTTTCAACGGCCGACCCCTTGAATGGTGATGCTGAGTCTCCAGTCTTTCTACGCTGGATAATGTGAGGTTTGAAAAGGAGTAGTCTGAGCTGCGGCTTCTTTGTCAGATACACCCAAAACACCGCAATAGGAAGTTTGGTTGGTGGTGAGGGGGGATGCTTTGGTTTTTCCTTACCTGATATTTGCTATCAAATATTACCTGGGGGGCCAGGGAGAGCTCAGCATGTGAGAGTGCTTACCGCAGAAACAGGAGCACCTGCGCTTGCATAGTCGGTGCCCGTGCAAAATCTGGGCCTGACTGCATGCCTGCAACCCCAGTACCTGGGAGGTGAGTGAGACACGGGAAGCTACCTGGGTCTAAATGACACTCAGCCCAGCACAAAAACGGTGAGGTTAGGGCACAGCAAAGGTTCTGTCTCAAGGAAATAAGGGTTGCAGCAAGATACCCGATGTCCTCCTCTTGTTTCCACGCAAGCACGTGGGCACACGAACAGTTGCAACACACATACACACACGTGCATGCTCACACGCACACACGCACACATGCACGCACACATGTACACACATGCCAGTGCACTCACTTGCAATAGTAAACTCGCCTACTCAATCGGTTCATCAGCATGCTACCTCTTGCCAGCCTCGTGTAAGGCTCACTCCACAGCCCTGAGTATGTGTCGTGAGTACTGACATCACCTGTTTAATTTGACCAGCACGCTTTGCCAGTAAAATCCTACAGAGCAGGGGCTGTTTCCAGTTCTTTTTTTGTCTTCAGTGCCTAGATCAAACCTGGCACTTGGTAGGTGTGTGATGAATAATTGGTGAGTGCATGAATAAGTTTGGTCAGGATGGCTTAATGAAGGGCTGGGGGATGTCTCATAGGTAAAGGGCTTGCTACACAGCGTGAGGACCTGAATTCAGATCCCCAGCACACAGGATAGATAGCCTGTGAAGCGTTGGATGTCTGTAACCCCAGAACTGTGGGAAGTTGAGACAGGAGGATGCTGTGGGTGGCTTTCCACCAGCCAATCTAACCAGAGGAGCTAGCTGCAGTCCAGCCAGAGACCCTGTTTCAGGGAAGGAGGAGGAGCAATCAGGACACGTGGCACCCACTGGTGCTTATGTACATATGTACCTGCACACACATGTGCACATACTGCATGCATATACAGTTAGAGTTTAATAACCAGTAAGTCATTGGTTACCATTCCTCAGTTTCCCCCAGACCCAGTCTCTGCATGGGGACCTCTATGTGGTAGTCAGTGGCAAAGCTGGGACCGTCTCTGTGCACAGCTGGCCAGTGGTGAAAGGCTGTGACCACATAAATCTAGCTGTGACCAGAGAATTAGAGTAAGAAACAGTCCCACATTTCTTTAGCTTCCCTGTCCTAGCTGGTTGCTTTTTTCTTGGATGAACAAAGGATGACTACCCCTTAGCATATGCAGGAATTTGGAAAGGAAAGAGAAGGAAATGCAGTGTGGAGAATTTAAATGCCAGTATTGAGAAGTGACTCAGCACTTAAGAGTAAAACAACAACAACAAAAACCGGTTCTTTCAGAGAGGAGGAGCTTTCAGAGTTTGGTTCCCAGAATCTGTCAGACTATTCACATCTCCCTGTCACTCAAGTGCTGAGGGATCTGATGCCCCCTGCTGGAGTCTTCTGGCATCACACACACACACACACACACACACACACACACACACACACACACGCACAGCCTTCATCTCTTAGCTGATGGTTGTGAGACCTCTCATCACTAGTCTCCAACTCTCTTTTGCTGAAGGGAAAACTGAGCATGAGAAATAAAGTCGTGAGAGGGTCCAGCAGACCAGGCACTGAGAGCTGCCCAGCTTGGACACTATTTCATCTCCAGAACTGCTGGGCGTGACAGTGCCCATGTGGAAACCTAGCCCTGAGGAGCAGAGCAGCCAGACAGCCCAGCTGAATTAGAGGCCCCCAGTTCAGGGATCCAGGGGGCACAGGATGTCAACTTCTGGCTTCCGTGTGTGCGTGCACATATATGCAGACACATGCACAAAGACACACATGTATACACAAAGGAAATCTGAGGAACCCATGCTATTTGAAGTTATGAAGGAAAGACAGCTGTGGCTGTGGAGGTCCCCAAAACCTTGCATATAAAAAATGAGTTTTCAGTATTTGGGAACCTGGAGGAGTATCTCTTGTTTTCATCCTCAGGGTCCAGCCCCTCCTCCCTGTGCTCTCAGGATCCTGAAATCCTGCCATCACTGTATTTTGTATTATTTCTAAAACAGAGAAACACTTCTTGGTGTTAAGACACTCTGGGAAATGAAAGATCATTTTAATCCAAGCTCTGGAAAAGCCTTATGGAACAGGTACAAGAGTTCTAGGCGAAAAGAGTTAAAAAAACAAAAAGGAATCCAAACGTTAATCTATAAATATGAAACCTCCCCGTGACCTTTGCCCCACCAAGGTCTGAAGTTACTAATGGGGTTAGGATTTCAGCGCTTAATGGGGCTCGGTGCATCTGTGTTTTGTATGCATGGAATTCCAGCGTACGGTTTAATAAGTGGTTGACATTGGTGATGTCCCTTAATTTGCTTAAATCTAATTGGCTCTTTTATCAGTCAAACCTGTATGGATCTGCAATTGATCAGAAGGGGTCAGCCATGACTCTGCATGTAGTTAAATGGTGAAAGCGTCGGCTAAAGCCACAGTGGCCGGATAATCAGCAAAGGATGAACAAATTCTCTTAGAGGGGGAGGGAGAAGGAGCTCCCAAGTTTTGCAGGATCTTCAAGTTCAGAACAAAGGCGTTATGGAGTGTATAAATTTTAAATATACTGCATTTTGCCTCCAGACTTAAACCTTTTTTGTTTCCAGATGAACTGAAATCTTGTCTGAAACTGTCTTTGTTACATCAAAGACCTACTCAGAGAGCGGAAAGAGACAGCAGAAGCTTAAAAGGGCATAGTTTAAAATGATTACTGACACACTTCAGACTGACGAGCTACAGCCAGATTATATTTTTATCAGTGTTTCCTACCTTTGCAGGAAAAATCGTTTTCTCCTGTTTGTCTAAATGGTTTCAGTGTAATCAGGAAGGAGTTCAGAACCACCTGTACCTCTAAACCCCATCCAGTTTCTCCGGCAACAAATAAGTGGTGGTTTCAACGATTGATTAGAATTACTGCAGCTTAGACGCTCCATTAAAATATAAGGCTCCAGGAAGCCACTGTTTTCTGAAATGTGTTCTTTGAAAAGCAAGAGCAGAGAGA